ACCTCCGCGTATAACGTCGACTGTTCTTGTATTTTATCTATTGGATCGTTGGAATCATATTCTTTTTGAATCTTGCAATGCAAAACCTCATACAACCTGATTCTATCAGTGGGTACTGACAATGATAATTTTTGTAAAAGTGCTTCTAAAATGTCATTAATTATAGCAGTCTTTGGAAGACGAACATCAATCACTTCCTTTAAAAGGAAATAATAAAAATTAACAAACTAGCTAATATTAGATCGGAACGTTAATTTTCATTTTACCTCTTCTTTAATAGTTGTCCCAAGCCAGCATACTTTAAAGAACTTTTTAGTTTCTAATTCCACAATACTAATTTCAAGCATCTCATAATACAAAAGATTCGCTGAATTAGGCAGATAGCTTGTTTGAAGCATCTCTGACAGTGTTTGAGTGGTCGACCTTTTAATTATAGCTTTGTGCGTGCCAGTTGTTGGATGTGCCGTTGTAAACCGTAATTTCAATGGATCTGTGCTTAAATGAGCAGCAACGCGTTTAGCGACCTACACAAATACATAGCAAAAATAAAAGAAATTAATTAAATTCAAATGGGGAATTATGGTGAGCATATTATTTGGCGGAAATAAATATGAACATAGCCAAAATATCAAATTTCAGTATAATGCAGTTGACTCCGTAATAGTCACTCGCATTTGTCACAATCATGCTATAATTTTCTGTCTAATTTTATATACACTAAAACTATAAAAATTTTAAATTAGCCATGATCAGAGATGCTAGTGAAATAGTCCACAAATTTACCAAGAGTGATGAATTCACCAATTCAACACCAATTTCACCAATAGTGATGAAATTATTCCACCAGCATCTTTCCACAATTTCCCATAGCCACATAAAGTGCCTAGTTAAAGCATGTGGCTATAGCGAATTGACCATCACTTTACCATTAATTAAATTTAAAAAATAATTTCAACGTACATCATCATATGAGTATTTCTTATTTAAAACTAACTCAAATTCGGGTTTTTGTTCTCG